TACAACCCTGCTTTTAGAAGCCCCAGTTTGGTGGGAGAAACAGTCCTGTCCTCAGGGAAATCAGATTTGATGGGAGACACAGCCACATTCTCAGGGACCCCATACTGAGGGGAACACTCAGTCCTTCCACAACGAACCCCAGATAAAGGTGGAGACACAGCCTTGACCTCAGGGAGCCCCAGTCTGAGGGGAGACACAGCCCTGCCGCTGGCGCTCTGCCAGGACTCATGTTTCAGGGTTTTTGCCACTTGCCTGCCTCTTGGAGTCTGGGGCGAGCAGTTCATGGATTGGGGGTGAGCCTGGGTATCAGGGTTCCCTAGTGTTTTGGAGAGAGATAGCCACAGACATATGCTCAGTCCCACAAACAAATAGGACTCTGTCACTGAGGATTCCATTAACCCCTTGTAGGAGCACCCTTACTCTTCATTGCTCAGGAACACCCCACCCCCTCATTTCATTCAATCCCGGAGCTGGAAGACCCTTCAAACACGCCCACCCTGACCCCTCGATTTACAGGGAAACGGACTCAGTTGGGGCTAACTTACTTAAGGTCACAAACCAGGATTTGGATCCAAGCATCCCTGTCCCTCCTCACTTCCTGGGCTCAGTCTCTGTCTCTCTCCACCTTTCCTCAGCCCCTTTCTCTCCCTCTCTCCCATGGAATCAGGACCCCTTCTCTGATCCTAGTCTTGAGGCAGAGATCAGCAGAGGCCTGGATGTTTCTAGTCAAGGGTCTGAGAGTTTCTGAGGGTCTTTCTGCCACCTGGGTTGGAAAGGAGACTGGGAAGATCCCAAAGGCAGTTTTTACCTGTCCCTTCTAGGCCCTGCCCAGGCCGCACAGGCCAGCCCTCCTGCTCCCCTCCTGGTGGGATGTATTTGCCCACACACTCACCCTAGTTGGAGTGAGGCCCCCTTAAATGACCCTGCATACATGAGAGGAAGGGAGGTGCCAGCACTGCACAGGGGCTGCCAGTGCCATGGTGTCCCAGAGAGAACGTGCACATGCACTCTTGTGTGCCAGCACCCACGCGCACATGCACACACTCATAGGGAGGTTGGACATACCTCAAATGTTCGTGCTTGTTGCTGGAAGTCATGTTATTCTTTGTCCTCGGGATTTCTCTTAGTCAAAACGTGACTTGACATCCCCACCTCCTCAACCCTGATCATTACAATCCAATTCTTCCTTTCCTCTCAATTGTCTGAGTGTTTTTATTTAAATAAATCAGCAGGAAAAGATTTCAAGGCCCAAGTTCAAAGCCCTGTCTCAATCTCTGTGATGTATAGTTATACAAATAATGCTAAGAACAGAAAGTGACCTTTACTTCTAATCTATAGTCCTTGATGACTTCTGGCTTTTGAGAAAATAGATTTTTTTTCCTGGTTATTAAAAATAATACATGTTCATGTAAAAATGGTCAGACAGTACAGAAAAGTCTAAAGATGTGAGTCAGAATGATCTGAAATTTCTCCAGTGAGATAATGACAGATAACTCAGTGAATATTCTTCTGGACTTAGAGGAAATGCACATACACAAATACACAGAGATATTTTTACACAAAAAAAATGTGAGAGTACGAGGCATGCTCTTTTCTAATCTGCTTTTCTCTCTCAACAGTCTATTATGGGCATCTCTAAAAGGCAGCAGCGACTCCCACTGTGTGGACATTTGGCACTCTCAGCCTCTCTGACTCATGTTTTACTCTACTTCTCACTGCCTTGTGGTTGAGAGTGAATTGGTGGGTGCTCTGGGGGGTGGGGGCACTGAGAGTGGGGCTCTACTTAGGGCAGCCTGTGTAAATGGAATGAGGACTTGCAAAGTGCTGAGTCCATTTGGCTGAGCTTTGGCTGGTCTCTGGAGGCCAGAGAGAAATGGGAAACTCAAAACATTTTTAAAGATCAAAACTACTAGAGAGAGACAGGGTGATGGATCCAGTGGTAGGATTTGCATTTGAGGGGCCTGCCAAGTTGACCTCAGAGCCGGGAGACGGGCTGGGCACTGATGGGGCTGCACGAAAGAAAGGAATCTGGGAGCAGGCAGTTCAAGAAGCAGCATAGAGGGAATCCTCCACCCGGGGTTGGGGTGACTTCAAGGAGAAGAGTTTCGACTTTTTTCTTGGATTTATTTATACCCAACCTCTTTCTAAAAAGGTGTTATGGTAGCTTTCCACAAAGGACATTTACAAAAAGGTCAGGCAGCTAGAAATAGAAAATCAGGACCAGGGACAATTTTCATCTGAAGCAGAGGGCCATACAGGAAAGGGCCCTGCTTCTCCCAGCTCCTGGGAATAAACTGGTGAGAAAAACTGAATAATCCCAAAGGGGAGGAAGAGAAGGAGAGGACCTGGCTGACATGAACAAACATTGCACCACAGTCAAAAAACCTAGATATGCCTCCAGGTTCTTCCCCTCCTAACCTGCATGAGCTTGGGTACTACGGCACTTTTCTGAGCACCAGTTTCCTCATCTGTAAACATGAAAACAAAAATATCTGAGTCACTCTAAGTGCATAACTCAAGACTCTGTTCCTGGAAGTTACCTGACCTACCTATATAATTTGCACTGAGACCTGTCCTTGGACAGGGTCACTTTCATAGGGCACATACTGCACAACTGTTCCTCTGGGGACAGACGGTCACTTGAGGAATAGCGAAAGAGGGAAGAACAAAGGAAGTATGTTTATGGTGCCTGCCAGCCACCTGCCCCTATGAAGTGGGTCCACCCACAGCCTATCTAGAAGCAGCAGCTCCCAGGCACCCATGTTTTATATTCATGACTCCTTCCTCCAACCCAGCTGACTGAGTCAGGATGACTCTTAACCTAACAGCAACCAATCAGAAGGTTTCCCAGTGATGTATGTATGACTGGGCACAAAATGGTGGGCCAGTCCAGTGGGCTCTTTCTCTAGAGAGGCTGAGTCAGTGAATGCTGGGAGCTGTCCCTGGAAGGTCATGAGGGAGAGTTGGAGCTGGAGAGGTCATGATGTCCAGAAAGCAGAAGTAATGAAGGAAGAGACACTAAGAGTCAGAAGAGAACTGCGTGGGCAAAAAGAAGCAGATGCTGGAAAGTGGCTGAATCACGGCAGGGTGGTTATCTATTGCTGTTGTAACCAACCACCCCTAACCTTGGGGACTTAAAACAACAATTATATTTATTATACCCCATGACTTCGTGGGTCAGGAATTTGGGTGGAGCTGGACTGGTCAATTCTTCTGTTCCCTGAGGCATCGACAGAGGTGTTCACCTGGTGGATGGGCTGGTCTGGAGGGTCCAAGACAGCTTCACTGCCATGTCTGCTGCTGTGTGGGGGTCCGGGCTGAAGTCTGGGTTCAGCTGGGCTGATCAACTGGAGCCCCTCACGGGACCTCTCCCACAAATTGGTCTCAGGGGAGTTGGACATCCTACGTGGTGGTTCATGGCTCCCAGAGAGAACATTCCAAGAGGACTGAGCTGAAGCTGCAAGACACCTTCAACTCAAAATGTCACATTCTGTTGGTCAGACAAGTCACTAAGACCAACCCATATTCAAGGAGAAAGGAATTAGACGTCCCCTCTCTATAGGTAAGATAACAGAGGATCTGCAGCCATCTTTACTCTGCCAGGTGAGGACCCATAAACTCCAAAAACTACCTTGAATCTAGAATACCCATCTGGTTCAAGAAATCCATCCCTATTACAGCTCTTGTGTTTGGCTTTCTCAGAGTATCTGTCCCCCTTCCATAGACGTAGAGCCCCATAATAATGCTCCTGGACTTGAGTGAGCTTGAGTGAATCTCTCTTCCTTGTACCCAATGAGCCAACCCAAACAGTGGTGGGCTCCAAGCTCAGGAAGAGAAATCCCTGGTGTGGCAGCAAGAAGTTACCCAAGGTGTGAGCTGCTAAAGGTGGGACGTGGAGCCCCTAGTCTTGTCAACTGTCTGAGCCTCAGTTTCCCCATCTGAAACACAGAAATGAAACTATTTGCTCTACCTGCCTGTTACTACTAAGTAACACAAAAAAACTCTCTTCCTGTCACTTGCCTGATCTCGTGGTACAGTTCATATCATGACACATGAGCCCTTGATTCAGGGTCACTTCACAAACCTTCATGGGAGAGTGAATTTTCCTCATCACTGCCTGCCTCCGTGATCTTGGCAAGCCTATTTCTCCCAAGGAAAGTATAGGAGATGATTGAAATAAGTGATTTTAAGGACCACGCAGCATGAAGTTTTAGGATTCTGAGAGGTCTGGTAAAAGGGGAAGTTTGGCACAAAATAATTTTGGGATGAATGGGCAGCTAACTGGTGGTGAATAAGGGAGGCAGCCCCAAGTAGAGTGCAGGGGTTTACGCGGCCAGGACAGGAACACAGTGATTGGGGGAAGGGGGAGAAGGAGCGTGTAGGACAAATATGGGGGTTGGTGCCAAGAAGGGAAAGAGCAGAGTTGGCACAGGTAGTGGATCAACTTTATTCCTCCTTCTTTGTCTTCTGTCCCCTTCCTTGAGACTTCTATGTTTTTTTCACCCTTGGCCTGTGAATATTGTTTCCTCTGCTTGGAAGACTCCTTCTGCCCCAATAGGCTAACTCCAATCATTCTTTAGCTGTCTCCTAAATGTCTCTTCTTTAGAGAAGTCTTCCCCACAGCCCCAACTCAAATAAGACCTTCTTCTTACCTTTTTCCACAGCACCAGTTTCCTTCACAGCCCCAATTGTGTCCATAAGGATACATTTCCCAGTGTAATTACGAGCTTAGTGTCCATCTCCCCCACTGAGCAGGAGCTTCCACAAAGGCAGTATTTAGCTAGTATTTGTTGAAAGAACAAATGAACGAGGCCACCCGAGTTCGTTGGGTTGGACACCAGGCCGCAGGCCCCCACTGTCCAGGCCACAGAGCAGGATCCACGGTATCAGGTACCAAAGGGAAAAACGGCCCCTCCAGGGGCCTAGGGGAGCCCCCTCCAGGCCTGGGCTGCCCATTCCACCCACCTGCCAGCCAACACACACAGCCTGACCCCGAGAGCTAGAACACTGCAGCTTTATTGATTGAAACAACCGCGTCCGCAACTAGAGGTTACATTTGGGGGACGTGGGGGTGAAAGGGGGACAAAATGGGGACAGAGGCTGGGGTGGAGACAGAGAGCAAGGCAAAGGGGTGAGGATGGGGTCGTGTGACTAAAACAACCCCAATACCTTTCACCCATTAATGAGGGTCTCCTGTTGTGCTTTTACCTTGGTGGTGGGATGGGCCTGGGCATGGAGGGGTTGGCTTTCTCCCAAGTCTTTGAGGCCTCAGGGCTGGAGCAGTCCCCTCGTTCCCCTGTCCCTTCTCCTGGGTTGGGGATAAAGGCCTTGGTGAGCTGCCCACCCTGGGGCAGGAAGGATGCTTGGAGACCACCCAGGGAAGAGGGGTCAGCAGAACTGGGCTGAGATGGTGATTATGTAGGTGGCTGGGAGCGGGGGAGGTGCCAGGGGGAGGTGCCAGGAGGTGGGGCATTCCCAGTGGGGCCCCTGGGAAATGAATATAGGTGACATGAGGTGAGGGGACAGTGGTAGGCAAGTGCCATCTCTCTGGACCTCAGCTTTCTCACCTGTACAGTGGGGGCACTGGATTAGATGTTCTCTAAGGTCCCTTCCAGCTCTAAGGATCAAGAAGACCCCAAGAAAGAGTGGTCCTTCTGCCCCAACACACACCCTCACACACACCTTCTCTCATATGCACAAACACAACGGCACTGACTCAACAGAGAGGGGGCTGCTATCCTGCCTTTGGAATTGGGGAGGGCTCCCCTGAACCCAGAATCTCAACCAGTGGCCCTGTGGGAACTCTCTTGAGCAGGTTTACCCACCCCATTCCAGGGACAGACCCTGAAAATACCCCCTAACCCCTTTGAGCTGTCTGGGGAGAGGAAAACACAAGGATTATCCCTGCTCTCCCAGGCTCCCCTGGACCGTAGAGGGAAGTCAATGAGATGAGGACACCAGGACACACTGAATTTCATTCCCAGCCCAGGCTCGTGTGAAGACAGAGGGGAGGGGAAACAGAGTCCCTTTCATCTGGGAGCCTGGGGGAGGGGCAGCAGCTTCAACCAGTGCGGGCAGAGGGTGGTAGTCTCCATGAGGCACCCAGGCCTGAACTGGGCAGGAGGAGCTGTGGCCTGGGATGCGAGGCCAGATCTGGGGGCAAGGATAGTACCTCTCCCAGTGCAGGGCCCAGTAACAACTGTAATATCTGCACAGGCACCAGGAGACAGGGCTGTTTGACCAAGCTCCTCCTTGTTGCCTGGCAGGAAACCCCAGGGGCAATGACCAGAGGTGTGACACCCTCAGGGCTGTAATACCTGGCTTCCAAGGCTGGCTTCATGTTAACTGACTGTGTGACCTTGGGCCAGTCCCTTTCCCTCTCTGGTCTTCACTCTCATTCAGACCATGAGGAGTTTGGACTAGTACTGTCCCAGCACTGTCAACCTGAGCCAGGGGCTTTGGAGGGACACAGGGAGAAAGGAAAATGAATGAGAAGGCGGAGTCAGAGCTATCCCAGAGAGGGTGGAGGTGGGCGGAGCACCCCAGGAGGAGGGGGCTTGGTCTACAGGCTCAGCTTGGCATGCCTGGTGACTGGTTATGGTCCCGGAGCAGACAGCCAAGCTGAGACTCCCTCTCTCCTACTTAAACAACAGCTGGCCCCAGGAGTCCCTTTGTCCCCCAGACACCAACCTGAAGGGGACAGGGGTGGAGGACCCCAACACCCTGAAGGTTGACCCTGGACTCCCCATTTTAAGGCCACAAAATGCCTCAGCCACCCTGACCCAGAGGGCGAGACTACCACTGGGGAGATGCACTGGATCCAGCCAGCCTGGTCTCCCCTGGGCTGGGGGTCCTCACGGGCCACCTACCAACACACAGTTGCTGACAGTCACTGACACACGAGGACACACACGGCACACCCAACACTGACACAGAGGGGCTGACTCATAGGCACACACAGACACTCAAACACTCACAAGTCACCTGACGACACACATAGACACTTATTCCTTGCAGCCCCCCTCGTACACACACACACATGCTGGCACACTCTAGGTGCTCACGTCACACACACAGTTAAGGTGAGCATGCACTGACACCCACATCCCCTGCAGACGAGCTGGCACACACAGACACACGTGAGGACCAAGGACCTCAGCAGCTCACTCAGGCACATTGCTAGCCCAGGTCAAGCCACCCTCAAGTCAGTGCTGCCCAGGCCCACCTTGACCTCCCTCTGGCACTGTTCCCTGTTGCTCATTTGTCCTGTACTCTCTGTCCATGTGACCATGTTCCCTCTCTCCAAACAGACCAGGAACTCGGGGGCAGCATGTTTGCAGTTCAGCTCAGCCAACATATGCTGAGTCCCTTTTCTGTATCCAGCTCTACAGATGTGTCGGTGAACAAGGGAGACAGGGTCCCCTTCACAGAGCAGTCAGAGAGGGGACAGATGCACTCAAAAGTCATCTGAGGGCAGTAGGCACAGGGCACCACGGAGCCCCAAGGAGGAAGTGCTCCCGGCTACCAATCTCTGAATCTCCAGCACCCACCCCAGTGAGGGCACGGAGGAAGCACCTGACAGGTGATAGGCCAGTGGTTCCCACTCTCAGGTTCTCCAGAGGAGCTTTTAAACATTTCTGATGCCAGGCTGCACTTCAGTCCAATTAAACTGGAACCTCTAGGGAGGGCCCAGCACTGGTGCTTTCTAAAAGACTCTCTGGTGGTCCTATTCTGCAGACAGGCTGGGAACCACTGATTTATATAATCCATCCCACTGGGCAAAGCCCGCTGAGCGATTCCATAACAGGCCTACTTGTGCTGGGCATGAGGTTGGGATGGGGTGAGGGAGAGGATTGGAAGGCTCAGAGGAGGAGCTCACAGTCTAGTTGGGGAAACAGACCCTGTGCAGATGGGACAACTAAGGAACAATACCCAGCAGACATGATGGAAGCATGTTCTGGGAACCTGGATCCACTCATTTCGGACAGAGACCTTGGCTGCGCTGGGAAGGCAGCCACGCTGGTCAGGTAACAGAAGGCCCCACTCCAGCCCTGGCCTGGCCACCCACCAGCTGTTGGTGATGATGATAACACAGGCCTGGCAGAGCTGAGACGGGCAGCGTTTGCTTTGGTTTCCTGCCTGCCTTCTGGCATCACAGTGCTGCCTCTTTTCTGCAGCTGTCCCCACCAAATGCTCCAGGAGGAGCCCTATGACACGCCCCCAACTAAAGGTGCTTGCATTTCTGTTGGGTCATCTGTAAGCTCTTTGTCAACCATAGGGGATAAAAGGTAGAAATTCAGGTGGTCGGAGGCCACTTGAGATTATAGAATAGGGCTGAAGTGGCATATTTGGCCAGCACTCCGCAAACATACGTGAAACTCACGAAGATAGACACGCACAGGCACTCACAGAGATGGGGGTTAGTCCCAGCCTCACAAACAGATATGTATAATTGCACACACAGCCCCATATTTGCACACTCTCCTGCCAGAGATGTACCCACGGTGGTACACAGACACAGATGGGTCCACACACATGGTCACACGTGTGCGCACACACACACACGGCCACATGCACACGTCCATGACAAATCATCCTGAAGGGGGCTGGGCCCTCTCTGTCCCATGGACATCTGGGTAAGGGGCTCAGGGGTGATGGTGAGGAGGAGGTCTAGGTCCCATCATGCCTGTCTCAGCCTCCCAACCCAGCACCCAAGGTTGGGGAATGAGGCTCAACTCCCAGGGAGCATGGTGACCAGCAACTGCCCCACACACCACCCCCGGCTCTACAAACCCCTCCTTCTTCACTGACCCTGGGCGGGGAAGGGAACAGTCCAGTAGACAGTGCTTTGAGGTGGAGGAGGAAAGGAAGCCTCCCTACAAACACCCCCATCCAGGGCACCCCTTCATGGCAAGTATATAAGAAATGGAGGCTCCTCTACTCCTAAAATCAGTGTCCAGTATGGGGGTATGAAATCACAAAAGCAGGACTTCTCCTCTGTTCCTCTCAAAGTCAAGCTTCACCCCAGAAAATGGCCTGGCCACCAACCCTTCCCCCTGGCTCCTCGGGGATGCAGCTGGGGGCTGAGGTTAGGCCAACAGACCAGAGTGGGGACTGTGCTCTCAGGAATGCAGCTGCTTGTGTGGTGGGGTGCAGTGGGAAGGAGAGGATGGGGAACGGATCAGTCTTCAGACTGCCCAGGCCCAAGACCCTGCACTGGATCCCTTTGAAGGGGGCGCAGTGATGGGGAATATGACGTTCCAGGGATGGGTCAGGGGATCTAGGTGACCTGGGGTCTCCAGCTTCTGGCCTTTGCTCTGGGAACAGAGTTTATGCAGCAGGTGCCTCATCTCCCTCATTGTCCCCTGCATGGGGATATTCACAGAGCTCACAAAGTCCCACCTGGCCCCCCTGACCCCGGCCTCCCCCATCCAGGGAGTCCCAGAGGCCAGCCAAGGGCAGGGCTCCCATGTCTTCTCCCCTTCTGGCTTCTGGTAAAGCCACTGGGCTGAGCTCAGCCTTGAGTCAGGGACAGGGGAAGGTCAGAAACACACCACAGATGCAGCCAGGACAAGGCCTACATGGCACCAAGGTCCCTGGGGTAATGGATGCCATTCAGGCGAGTCCTGTCTCTGCAGTAAAGAAGGTGCTGGCAGGTCAGATAGAAACTTGTGCTTTAATATGTGTGTGTGTGTGTGTGTGTGTGTGTGTCGAACAACTGTCTCAGGCCTCAGTGCCAGGCCTCTGTCCTTGTTCTCTGCTCATCCTCGCAGCCAGTGCAGGCCCCTTCCCTGGCAGGCGGCCCTGCCCCTGGGCACCCCGGCTGGCGGGGGTCAGTCTTTGGTAAGATGCAGACACTTTGGTGTGCCGGGGGCGGGGTGGGGGGGCCATGAAGCACTCATCATCTCTGCAACGCCAAGAGGAAGATGGCCATGGGCCCCCAGAGCTGCGGGCGGGGTTGGCAGGGGGCTCCACTGCCCGGCATCACAACCACTGTGACAAGAGAGAAAAGGGAGACAGGCCAGGACTCCCGTCAGCTCAGCAGGGCCATAGGAGGAGCAGGAATGCAGGCCATGGGGGGGCCATTACTCTGTCCCTCTCTCTGGGGCGCCTGGAGGTGGGCACGGCCCTCTGTGCACAGAGACACACTCGTAAGACATGAGGTGGTGTGGTGTGGGGGTTAACTCTGCCTGCCAAGATCCAAATCCTGGCTCTGCGGCTCACTAAGACAAAGAGCAATTCACTCAATATCAGTGGCCTCAGTTTCCTCATCTGTAAAATGAGTCTAATAGTAAAAGCCACCCCAGAGGACTGTTGTGAGGAATGAATGAGATCATGCATATTACAGGTGTGTGTACCTTGCCTGGTACACCATAATCACTTGGTAAATGCAAGCTGTTATTATTGCTTGCATTTACCTGGCTCCCAGCGGGGGAAGTAGGAGGGGGTGCATGTTCACATCTGGATTCCCCTACCCACAACACACACAGATGTACCCAGACAGAGATGCTGCTACTGTAAACAACTTAGTAAGCTCACAGGAGGATCTGGTCATATCACTGTCCTCCATATGTATGTCCCACAGCCTGAGCCAGGGTGGGGCCCAAGGTGGGTACCTCACATACTGGCACCTGTTCCCACAGTCACTGACACATGCATCCCATCATCCAGCCACTCTAAACTCCCATTCAGACACCAATGCCTCCCCTGACACCAGTGCCCACCCACATGGCCCCCCATAAGATTCAGCAATCCCCCCACCCTCTTTCCATCCTGCACCTTTATTGGGATCCATCTGCTTCCTGGGACACTCTCCCTTCTTCAGTGTGACATCATCTATGGCGATATCCCCCAGGTAGCCCGAGCCTCGAACCCCCTCAAAAATAATCTGGGGTGGGGTCAAAGAGCAGGAAGCAGGGGTGAGGGAGGTTCTGCACCAGAGGCTTCCAGCCCTTAGCCTCAGTCTACCCGAAAGACCCCCCAATCCCTGCATGCTTTCCTCCTCAGCTCCCAGAAGCAGAAGCCCGGGGGCCAGGAGAGCAGCGAGGAGCACCGGCGGACTCACCTGGAACGGCCCGCTGGGGTTGATGGGCACATGTGCCTGCTGCCACACATTGCCCTTATTGCCACTGAGGGACCAGGCATGCATGTCCAGTGCTCCTTTGTTCCGGGACCGCACCAGGAGGTTGAGGGACCCTGTGGTGGGCATGAGAAGAGGGGGCAGTGAGGGAGCACCCTCACCTTTCCCCATTCACCAAGCTTGACTCCCTACCACTCCCCACAGCACTGTCCCCGTTGGATGGGACCCTCTCCCCATTGCAGACTGGTTCTGTGTCCCCTTATCCCAGAGGGGACCGCTGCATGGGAAAGAGAGA